GTTACGTTACGTTACGTTACGTTACGTTACGTTACGTTACGTTACGTTACGTTACGTACGTTAGAGAGAGAGAGAGAGAGAGAGAGAGAGAGAGGGCTTCAGGCACATTTCCATATTCCTCCTTTTACTTGGCCCTTCCACCAGGAACCTCTGTCTTGGTCACTGCCAACAAGGTTTGGCACACTCCTGTTCCCCCCAAAAATACAAGTCTTTAGCTGGATAATACTTCATCATGACGTCCACATGGGGGATCAAATTTAAAGGAGGGCTATTCACTTGCCCAACCGATGCATCTTGTGCAAAAATAGTGAGGAAATCATCTATAATCTCTTCCTGCACTGTCCCATTACAAGTCAAATTTGGTCTCTTTCCTTACAGTTATTCGGGGTTATGTGGGGAACCCTGGAGTCGACCCAACAACTATTCCTAAGCTTATTGTGCATTCCACTACCCTTGGTTGGCTTGCTTTTGTGGTAAGCGGTAAGCCTCCATCAACCTATTTTGGTTAGTCTGGCTGGTTACAAACCAGAGGATTTTGGAGGGGAAGGAAGCCAATACAGACACTATTATCAATAAAAGCAAATCCTTGGTCATCAAATGGGTCTGTCATAGAGGGGAATATGAGACCTTTATTTCGTGGACTTCCTGAATAGTTGACTCAAATCATAAGATTTAGCCACATGGGTATCACTAGTTCCTTTCATTGGGTTGTTCTCTCCCCAAACACCATGAAGCTGCACATCAGTGGGTGTTTTCTCGGCAACCCTGGTAGGGTGGTGTTGGGGGGATCTTTTGGAACAGTAGAAGCGTAACATTGTCCACGTACTCAAAAAGCATTGGCATAGCATCTTTGACCAATGCCGAGGCTCTCATTTCTTACTTGAAGGACTTAAAACTTTCAACCACTCCTGGGGCCCTTTTTTGCTGATGAAGGGAAACTCCTAGAATGGCATCAATTGGGCCTCTAAAGTTAGTACCTGCCCCTGGAGATTACAGTCAATGTGTGAGAAAATTTTTCTTCGGACAACCCAACTAAGTGTTTCCTTTGGAGGCATACATGACAAGGGGCTAATTCTGCAGTGGATCATCATCATCATTCAAGCTTTATCCCAATTATTTAGGGTCGGCTTCATTTTTTTAAAGAAATCCCAAGGAATAGGTTCATGATTCATGATAAGATGTAGCAATTATGTTGGCTGCCTACTACCTAATGCAACACACCTCCTTTACCTGGGCTTAAGGAAAAGTTTACGATCTTCATCCTTATTAGACAACTAATGCTGCTGTGGATGAGCTCGCAAAATAGGGATCATCCTACCCCGTTAGAACACAACTGCTTGAGTTAAGGGCCCTCATGTTTTTTCGCAGTTCCACAAGCCCATTCTGTAGTTAGTTCTCTTTTAACAGAAAGGTGATCTGTACCTCCTCCATTGTTGCGGCGGTAGTTGCTTAAGCAACTCTGCAATACAATTATGTGCACATGCTTACTGCAGTTCTGTAAATTCTAACTTTACTTTAAAAAAAAAAGGTCATTGATACCATGTTAAAGGAGCAGATCATGATTGTCAGTTTCCTTCTCAAAGTGGTGTGTTCTGGTTAGGTTGGCTTGAATCTCATTTTATTTTGCGAGAATGATTTTGTGATTGGCATTGTTGAGTGGAGATGTGGACAGATGCTTGTACGAATGTCATTCCTCAAATGTCACCTTTTATATTCTGATAAGATGTTTCTTTAGGTTCCTGGCTAAGATTCTAGCTCCTGAAGGTTCGAAGGATGTTCATGTGGGACAACCTATTGCCATAACAGTAAGTTGTACTAAGTTTCTTTTCCTTTTCTGTTTGCGTGTCTGTTATTTTAGAGAAAAGGAGAAAGGAAATGTACTAAGTGGAGGAAAGGGAATATTCATCCAAAAAATTTATGCTTCACTGCCCATTAAAGTTTTCAGAGGGGAAATAGTAGTTTTTGTATTATGTCTAAGGTATTCTATTCTTTTGTAAAGCATTTGTGTCATGAGCCAATACATTTTGCTAGTATTCATAGAAAAACTTGTTGCAAATCAATCTCAAAATAATCATTTTTATTGTTAATCATATAAAAAACATTTTTATTGTTAATCATATTGAAAAACATTTTGCAAATCTATGGAAAACTAATCATTTTTATTGTTAATCATACCTTTTTTTAATAAGCCACGGTTTATTCATAAGGGAAGGAATAATCAAAGAAACTACATCTATTCAACTAGGTAGAACTTTTAAGTAAGGACACGGATTCTATGCGGCCAGCCCGCATATTGTAGAAATGCGGGCTTGGCAATAAATATGTTTTTTAAATAGAATTTGATCCTAATTTTTAAAGAATATATAATCTTTAACATGAAGATCATGAATTTAAAAACTAATTAATTAAAAACTAGAAATAATAATTATATTAAGAAAATATTTGGACCGCTAGTTACATTTGTTTTTAGATGGACCACCTATTTGCATCCATCTTTAAGATGGATGCTTTATACCTCTGGACCGCATATTGTAGAAATGTGGTGCAGCATGAAACAATGTTCCCTTAAGTAATGGGGTTTCTGTTCAAAATTGATATTTTAGCTAGTTAGTCGAGCATCTGATTATCATCTCTATGGACATCTTGAGAGAAAACCTCTGGTAAGTTGGTGATACAAAAATCTCCTCTGAAGCAGTTGGTATCCTCTATACTACTGTCACATTATGTTTTTCCATCTAATAACGTTTCATCCCTGAAAACGTAGATAAAGAAATATGTAACACTGCTGACTTCTGCTTCGACAATCTCGTTACTCTAACAAGGATGCAATGTCATCAGCAACCCAAACCACATCTTTGCATACAAGTGTGTGTGTGTGTGTGTGTGTTTTTGAGTGTGTATCTTTCTTTCTTCCTCGTTGAATAATGGATTAAACTAATTCACTAGTTTTTTTCTAGGAAATGCTGTACATAATAGAAGGGATTAGAGGTCAACATTTGCTGCTGTGCTTCTTTATTTTGTTTTGTGCTTCCTAAGCATTAGGAATTACATAGCTGCTATGTCACTTGCTTACAAGGTTGAGGATCTAGACGATATCCAAAATGTCCCTGCTACTGTATCCACTGGTTTAGAAGCAAGGGAGGAAAAGACAATGGAATCTGATGTGCAGGATCAAGGAAAGAAACAGAAAACGGGTTTTAGCAGAATCAGCCCATCAGCAAAGCTTCTTATTGTGACTCATGGATTGGATGTGTCATTATTGAGATCCACGGGCCCCCGTCATACTCTTTTAAAGGGTGATGTGTTGGCAGCCATAAAGTCTGGATCAGCTTCTTCAAGAACTTCAGATTCCCCTCAACAGGGGATATCAGGATCGCCCATGAGCAAATCTGTCCCTACTGGTACTTCATCTTCAGAATCAAGCGCTCATTTGCATCCTCCTGAGAAACAGGAAGACTTGCCAAACAGTCAAATCCGTAAGGCAAGTTCCATTGAATTACCAAGGTGCTTTTGCAAAGAATGCAATTCATATACTATATTTTCTGCTTGCTTAATCAGCTCTGAAATTGTTATGTATTTGTATGAAATTGTGATTTGATAAAGCTGCTCCTGCATGGAATACCAATGCCATATAACCTGGGTAAAAATAGCTGGATGAAAAGCTAAACTCGGTAGTTTCAGTTTATAACTCGTAGATTAGAATCATCTTTGTTGATTGCATGACATGCCTTTATTTGGAGGCTTGGTGCTTAGTGGCTTTGCTTTATTACTTTTTTTTTTTTTGTGACAAGGTTACATAGGAATGGAACTTGAGACGTGCTATAAAAACCCAGCTGCTACTACCTTGACCCAAAGCCCGATTCCTTGCTTTGTTACTATTTGTTGCTAATCAGAACCATGATTCTTTTGGAGTTCATAAGAAAATTGCTTTTTTTACCCACCATACCCTTTTATTTTAAAGAATCGAAGTTCAATCTTCTCCTCAATTACGGTTTACATTCTGGAGTTCCTCCCAAGTGGCAAAGGGATGCAATTGGAAAGAGTCATATGTTGTTAGAGGGGATTCACTATCTTCTGTCCCTGTTTAGATGTAATGCCTATTTATTAGTGCATGCTATCCATTTAGCATCAATCGTCAGTGGAGGGAAAACAGTTTCTTCCCTTTTTGTTGACCCTATAACACTTCTCGGTGTTATGAATAAACGGGGTTGTTAAAAGCTAACCCATAGTTGTTCGGATTAGGAACCAAATCGGGAGTGGGCAATCATGAAAAGCTAGAAGATCCCTATGGTTGGGAGTGCCATCCTTGCAATGCATATTTTAGAAATTGAGGATCTTGATTCCAACCTTTTGGGACCTTAATCCCAAACTTTTGGGATCTTGCTGCTAATCTTAAAGAATGTATATAATCTAGGAGTATATATGGTGTTTAAAGTAGGGATCTCTTTATCTAGAGCCAACAAGCAATGCAGCTATATTAAAAGTATAGTTGCATTGGTAGCTGGCTATAAATTAAGAAAATTATCAGTTTGCTCGTTATCTTGGTGTTGGAGGTGGGAATAAGGATCCCTAGTTGTGGGGATTGATGTCCTTAAAGTTAAAATCAAGATCCCTTGAAGATCCCTATTGTGAGGCACCAGAGAGATCCTAGAGTGGAATCACCACCTAGGTTGGAAGATCCCGGTAACTAGAGCTAACCATGAATTGGCAGGTACGGACCAAACTAGGGCCCAAAGCATGCTTTTTTTCATTCTACTAAAAATGTTGCTTGAGAACAACAAGATTTGTGAGCTAGAATTATTTGAATGGTTTAACCCAAGGTTTGAAATCCAGATTGGAATTGCCTGATCTGGATCAGAAATCGTCGATGGCGATCCGGATCCTCGAATATATCGGCATCCGAACGATCCACTCTATGAAACGCGGTTCTCAGCAATCCGGATTAGCAATTCGTTACAATGAATCGCGAAGTTCGTGCACTGCACCAATTCCTCTTTGGATGTTGTTTTCACGGCTTTTGAAGCTTTTTTCAGAGATTTCCAGTGCATTATTGAATTGAATGACTGTGTATTGGCTATAAAACAATGATCTAACGATTGAAACAATATATATGAAATTTTTTGTGACAATTTTTTGTGCGCTTTTCTCGTGGTTATGAAAAATCCGCCAATCCGATGATTTTGACCTTGATTTAGAACCATTTTGTGTCAAATTTTGTGCATTTTGAAGCAAACTAGTTCTTCACACAATCATTGGGTTGATTTGTTTGATTACAAAAAGATTTGAGGTCGATTTTGCTCGAAACTTTGTTCCTGAAACGCATGACGAATTTCCAACTTTGAACACCCCGATTATTAATCAAGTTGATTTTGATCAAATTAAGGTATACATTTCGATCCCCATAACTTCAGTTTGCAAATATATCTGGATATTGATTTATCATTTTGTACTTTTTTATATGAATTTTTGCGACGATTTTTTGTGCTTTTTCCTTGGGGTTTTGAAAAATCCACCAATCCGATGATTTTGAAATCGATTTAGATCCACTTTGTGTCAAATTTTGTGAAGAAGATCTAGTTCTTCACACGATCATTGGGTTGATTTGTTTGATTACACAAAGATTCGTGGTCGATTTTACCAAAATATCTTGATACATTATAGGGTTTTCTGAGTAATTATTTTTAATTATTTTACTGAACAAAATTAGGGATTTTGACTAATATAGGCTCTTGATACATACAATATGAGATTAAGTATTTTTTTTTCAATTTTTTTTATTATATTCAATTTTATCTCATGAATTTATAATTTTCATGGGAAAAAACTCGTATTTTTCAATTTTATCTTCAATTTTTTTTAATGCAATGAAATCTAAACTTTCTGCATGTATGTTTTTTTTCTTTAATGACACTGACCCTGGCATTAAATATGATGATTACTTTCAATATTTCCATGTTGCTTTATCTTTACTGCAGTTGGTCAGATTTCTTCCTGGATTTTGTGGATTATCTATTCTCCAAAAGGAAATTCTTTCCTTGTATCATTGAGTTTTTTATCTCCTTCCCTTCAACTTCTTTAACATGTATTGTTGAGAAGATGCTTGCAGGAATTAAGATGTTCTTTTTGTGTATAAAATGACGGTAAACAAAAAGCTCATGAACTCTAGATGCCAGAAGAAGCTTTTTTCTGAGATCATGAATTGCTCTAAGCATATGGCTCGAAACATTATTGACATTATTTTAATTTGGTCATAATGGGTTTTCTTTAGCTGTGGTCTCTTAAAGTCCTATATCTTGATCTTGTGGATGGAAAAGTTGTGTGACTTTCAGAAGTAATCTACTGTTGTTTTTTACACTCTGCCTGTTCACTGTGCACATACTCATACGTTAATGCTGTGATAGCTATTTATAACTCTGGATTCATCATATTCCCTAACAAATGGCTTTTCAGGTCATCGCAAAACGATTGCTGGAATCAAAGCAGAATATACCTCATTTGTATCTATCCTCAGGTGTGGCACCTTTCTAGATATCATTCATCATTAACTACTCATTTGTATCTATCTTCAGGTGTGACATCTTTTCTAGATATCGTTCGCCATTAATTAATTTATGCCATTCTAAAATGAGTGATGTTCATTCAGATGTCATACTAGACCCTGTGCTGGCTTTTAGAAAGGATCTTAAAGGTATGTGATTTGGAATCTTATCCTTGAAGTGATAGCATGACATTTACTGAGGTGATGATTATTGAATGACCTGAAATGTGGAAATATCACATTTTTCCTTGTGTTCACATTCAGAGCAGCGTGGTGTTCAAGTTTCGGTAAATGACATAATTGTCAAAGCGGTTGCCCTTGCTCTAAGAAGTGTTCCCGAAGCCAATGGTATGTGGACTACAATCATATAATTTGTAGAGATAATTTTAGGGTCTATCGCAGGATGGGTTTTTAGTTCAAGGCTTCAAGCATGAGGATCTTAAAGGAGATGAAATTGAGCTTGTTTTGATTCTCTGTGTTATTAATCAAGAAGCTTGTAAAGATCATGTCTATTGTTGAATAAATATGTGGAAGTAGAAATAGTTATTCACTGGGCTTAATTGCCAAAAACTGCATATGGGTTCATGATTTTACTTAATTCTAAAATATTTTTTTCATTTGTAGCATGTCATACTGGATGATTATATTTATGTTAGTGAATAAAGTGCAATTTTCATTAGTAATAATAGGAGTAGAGACAAGGACATGGTTAAGATTGACAACCAAGAAGTACAAAACAGATTGCACTTTCAATACCTTGGGTCGATACTCCAAGAAAATGGAGAGATTGAGGAAGATGTCGCACACATAGTTAAAGCTAGGTGGGCGAAGTGAAGATGTGCAACTGGAATTTTATGTGATTGCCACATACCAACAAAGCTGAAGGGCAAGTTCTATAGGACAGCTGTGAGACCAGCTTTTGCTCTATGGGGCGGAATGTTGGGCGAACACAAAACAATATATCCATAGAATGA